CACCTCGGACATCTAGCCCAGTCAAGTCTTCAGATGACACCAGCTGCAGTCATTACTTGACAAAAACCACAGGAGAGAAACCCCAAGTTCAACGGCCCAGCTGAGCCCAGTCAACAACCCACAGACTTTTCAGAGATAATCACGTGTTGCTGTTTTAAGCTACTGTTGGAATGGGTTGTTACACGGCAACTGACAGCTGAAACTGCCCTGGTCAATTCTCAACACAGAAGCCAGTGTTATCTTTTAAACCCGTAAATCATTTAATGTCATTTTCCAACTCAAAACACTCCAATGGAAACTTTTTCCCCTTCTCTATAAATATATGTGTGTAGATACGTATATATAAATACACATGTAGGTAAAAAAAATTAAAAAAAAAATATATATATATACGTGTAGGGGCGGCGCCTGTGGCTCAAAGGAATAGGGTGCTGGCCCCATATACCAGAGGTGGCGGGTTCAAGCCTGGCCCCAGCCAAAACTGCAAAAAAAAAAAAAAGAGGGTCATCCTGAACCATTCATTCAATTCATGCACTCACGGGCAATGTGCAGGCCCCTGGGGAGCAGTGGAGAGAGAGCGCACACTGGATTTGGGCCAAGTCCCAGCTCTCCACTTCCCAGTGGGGAGCTTTGCTAGGCTACAGCACAGAGCGTCCCTGCACAAACCTTGACAGCGCAGCTACTGCACCCCTAGACTTAGGTGGTATGGCTACCGCTCCTGGGCTACAGACCCATCCATCGTGTTACTGTACCGAATACTGAAGGCAATGTAACGCAGTGCTAAGTACGTGTGTATCTAGACATCTCTAATGTGAAGAAGGTAGAGTAAAAATCTGATATTATAATCTATGCGGCCATCGTTGTATATGTGGTCCATTATTGACCAAAACATTCCTATGTGGTGCATGAATGACCTTGTGCATGTGTGTCGGGGTGTGTGTGTATCTATATAGATATAGAATTCAGGGGTCCTCAAACTTTTTAAACAGAGGGCCAGTTCACTGTCCCTCAGACCATTGGAGGGCCGGACTGCAGGCCCCAGGACAAGTCGGCTGCTAAGCAGGACAGGCAGCAGCAACAAAAACACCCAGCAGACTGGATAAATGTCCTAGGCGGGCTGCATGAGGCCCGCGGGCCGTAGTTTGAGGACGCCTGATATAGATCGATGACAGGTGGTATGTTTGATACCAGGGCCTCTTCCTGACACATGGTAGAGCTCATTGTTACACACAAATACACAAAGCATACACAGCTTTGCTGAGATATAATGTACAATTCCCATCTTTGAAAGTGTGCAGGTCTATGGAATTTATTTTTATTTTTTGAGACAGAATCTCCCTTTGTCACCCTCGGTAGAGTGCAGTGGCCTCACAGCTCACAGCAACCTCAAACTCTTGGGCTCAAGCAATTCTCTTGCCTCAGCCTCC